AAGTATTTTGAAAGTACTATATTAAGTACCAAATAAAATCAATCGAAATCAACCTCAACAATATCGTATAACACATTTTTACGCAAATAAAACCTAACTGAAGTTATAAAAGGTAACGCAAAATTCGTATTCAACCTTTAAGTTGGTTCATGAACCGAAAAAAGTACCGCACGAGTGGATAACAAACAAATTGACCGAGCGAAATTATTATAGGAAATGAAAGTGAGGTCTTGAATATGAATTATAGTAAATATAAATAAAGTTAGACTTTACATAAATTGATATGATAATATTTATTACGGTCGTCGTTCATTTTATTCACATTAAAGTAGATAATAGTAGGCCCATTTTACTTGATGGCGCGGCCGATACAAAACTTGGTGTAAAGAGTGACATCTATGAGTAAAACTGGTAAACCTTTTTTTAATGAAAAAACCAATAATACCTAGTTCCATCACGTAAAGTTCAAAATAATGTGAAAAGAACAAGTTCAAAACAACTTCGCCATAACTTTGTTTTCATTATTAAATTTTTTGAGGTATTTTCGAATACAATAAAGTATTACATTTAACAGCTTATTTGGTTTAAATGATTTTTTAATCCTAGTTTTAAAATTAAGACAATAGATGGCGCTATTTCATCTGTTAGCCATCATAAATCTTTTTGTTTTTTTTTTAATAGTAAGGTTAGATTATTGTATATTTAATTTTGATTATAAACATTCCTTGCAAAGCAATAGTAAATTTCATATAATGGTAAGCGATTATGGGTAAGAAGGGAAACCTCGTTATCTTGCGGAGAGGCTATTTCCTGAACCTTCTAAATGCCCTTGCTCCTTTTTAAATCGGTAAGAAAATAACCATCATTATAAGCAAAATAAATGTTTTATAAACAGATGGTTTTAATATAACTGTATAAGATTTCTTTTGTGAGGATAATTGTCATATTATAATACCTGTAATGATTTTGTAGCGTCTTTTGTTATTTCCGACGTTCTTACGGTGAAGGAAAACATCGTGATGCAACCTGCATGCAATATGAGAAGAAATTCAAAGATATGTGTGAAGTTAACCAACCCGCACTAGTCCAGCGTGGTTGACTATGGCCTAGTCACCCTTAGTTTAGGGTAGGCTCCGAGCCCGTCGGTGGGGACGTAGCTGATGAGCGAGTGCGTCTCTTCATCCGTCGATTAAAGGTATGTAACGTATCTGGAATTCTGTGGGTATCGGTCACTTCCATATTTTGAAGAATTCAGGGACCCACTTCTGTGCCATATTTTTATAAATTAATTCCAGCTTGATACCTTCACGCGTTTTTGAGAAAAAGGGCCTTGACAGAGAGACAGACGGACAATAAAGTAACCCTATAAGAGTTCCGTTTTTTCCTATGAGGTATGTAACCCTAAAAAATAAATAAATAATACATTATTGGATCTATAATTTAAAAAAATGAATTATAGATCTTAATATATCAATATTCTAGTCTTTAGTTTGTTTGCCAGGTTTTTAATTAAATTAGGACTGTAACACACCATCAATACAATGTACATTGTACAAGAATTTAAATTTCTATTATATAAATGATTAATGTTATTTAAAATAACAGTCCATTAAACTGTAATTAACACTATTTAACTGCATTCCTATATTATCATTATTCTCAAAGCAAAACCAATTACACTTAGAATTAATTCGACTTGACTTGAATCTGGATTTAGGAGCGCACGTGATCTTTGTTCCGGATTCAGGAATTGTGTAAACGGAACGCAGCGCAACAGTACGCTGTTCATCTTACTAATATTATAAATGCGAATGTTTGGATGGATGGATGTTTGTTAAGAGGTATCTCGTGAGTATGGATCTCGCTGAAATTTGGCATAGATACAGAACATAGTCTAGAAAAACATATGTTAGTTTAGTTTATTTTAAATAACGCGTAGACGTAATCGCGGGAGACAGCTACTTTTACAAAAATTTAAAAACATAAAAAACACTTAAACAAAGACCTTTCAGTGTTTGTTTTTGTTTGGTAAAATTAATAAACTCAAAAACTATTGAACGTATTTACTGAGACGATAAGGATAAGGTTTTGTGAATACATATAAAGATTTATGCTAGTTATTAAGTTGGTTAATGAATAGTTATAACCAAAACGCAAAAGTACTGCTGTTGTAAACAAATTCGTGTTTCAAAATATATCAGAAACTTCTAGATTCAAAGTCAAATCAAACTAATCACTTAAACTGATAGATTCTTTGGTAACATTTTTCATTTTGGCATAATTCCAAAGTCATAATGTTGAAAGCACTAATGGAATCTTTTTTGAAAAAAATATCCTCCGAACACTAACATAAGTGAATTTTATTATGATTTATGAATTGTAATGGAAATTACTATGTAAAATTACATAGCGAAAGATAAGACTAGACTAACCAAAAAATCTTTCAAAAACTACTTTTAAAAACAGTCAAGTATTTTTTATAAAAACAACGCAATCTTACTATTATTATAAATGCGAATGTTTGGATCGATGCGTCGGTGGCTGAGGGGTCAAGCACTTGACTTGCAATCTGCAGGTCCTGGGTTCGAATCCCGCCATGTACCAATGTGTTTTTCGACTTCCGATTTATATATGTAGGTACATTTATCCGACGTTTTTACGGTGAAGGAAAACATCGTGATGAAACCTGCACATATCTGAGAAGAAACTCAAAGATATGTGTGAAGTCAACCAACCCGCACTTGGCCAGCTATGGCCTAATCACCCATAACTTAGGGTAGGCTCCGAGCTCCTCGGTGGAGACGTATAGTGAGCTGATGATGATGATGAATGTTTGAATGGATGGTTTATATGAAGGTATCTTGAGAATTGCTGTATGGATCTCGCTGAAATTTGGTATAGTCTGAAAGAACACATAAGCTAATTAGGTTTTTATAGCAACGCGCGGACGGTGTCGCGGGTGACAGCTATTGAAAAATACAAATTTCAAATCATTTTGTTAACCGATTGTCGAACTCAGAGATGTGTAATTACTCAACTATTCCCTTAAAGTATAGAACATTAAATTCAATACAACGCGGAAATGTGCTAGAGTTCGACCTTTGAACTTAGTTTAGATATCACGTTCTCTTAATAAGTTACAGTTCCACGCGGACTGAATTACCGCCGAGTCTAATTGTTGCCGCTGAAATGAGACGGTAGAGAAATTCTTCTTTTGTGAATAAAAGGGCTATTTAAGAGGTTTTCTTTGGTGCCAACTACATTATCTTTAAATTTTTATTAAAATATAGTTGTCTCTTTATTATCAAAAGGAAAGAAAGGGATGACAACAATTCTACGGTTAGTTGCTTGATTTCCGCAACTTCACGATTGGCGTGTATTTTGCGTCATAAATGTAGAACATAGTCTGGAAGAACACAGACTGCTAATAAAGTTTTTTTTTATTTCACGTATACGAAGTCGCAGGCGACTTTTACACAATTGACGATGACGATAAGGAGGCCCTTCTCGCATTTTTTTTAATTGGCCGGGCGGTATGCTACCTTCTCGTGCCACCTATTTTGAGTCAGGGAACTGGGGTATGGGAGTTCTTTATTTCTTTACTGTCGCAAATATTCGTGCTAGACCCACAGAACCCAATGGAACTGTGGATCCAACTATCACTGGTTTTCACCAGTTTCTAATAAGCGTTTATCAGCTTCACTTGTGTTAATTAACATAGACTACGTACTATCGTAAACAAGACTAGGAAGTCAAAGGTCTTCAGATCAAATCCTTAATGCGTAGTTACTAATAATAAGTACTACTGCTAGTCGACCTACTAAACTACTAAAACCTGCCTACCTAAACCCTTTTTCAGTATATGTACTTACTTGATAATAATTTACTATTTATTGATATACTGTCGCCCGTGACTTCGACCGCGCTCGTGAAAAAAACTTAATTAGTAGCCTATGTGTTCTTCTAGACTATGTTTTATATTTGTGCCAAATTTCAGCGATATCTATGTAGCCGTTCTCGAGATACCTTCATACTATAATCCATCCATCCACACAAACATTCGTATTTATAATATTAGTAAGATAAGACGCCTTGGTGACCACGACCTAGTCTGCGATGAATAAAAAAAACTTATTATTAGTCGCTTAATGTTTTTATGTAATAAAAATCTACGAGAAACGATTAAACAAACCCGTACAAAATATTAAATGAATGCATAAATTTTATATTAGGCTATAATCTATTTCTATTTAAAATTTCATTTTTATATAATACGTTAACTCGTTCTGGAATAACGTAGTTACAAATAGCCATCCAAAACATCCCTACCACAAGCCAAATCTACGCTTTTTTTTCAGAGAGGAATGCTTTATGCATACTCCGCGCCCCGGGGGGGACGCGGTAGTTATGTGGGATTCTCCTCCATAGCGGAGGCATACCCACTAAACCTCTCTGTTCCTCCAACGCATCGGGACGGGACCACGGGCACGCTTTCGCTCTCGTCCGTGGCCCCGTCTGCGCCAACTGCCGAGGCAGCTCCCTCTCGGGGGGGAGGCAGCCCTCAGTTGCTGGTGATGGTCTCCCCCGTGTCCATCACCAGCAAGCCAAATGTACCCTACAGAAGTGGCTGCTAACTTTAAATTATAATGATACTGAGAAACTTTTGAAGATACAATCCTATATCCTTTAACATATTTAACTTTTAAATATTCGTACATACACTTTTATATTATACATTTTAACTTAAGTTTAATTTAATTTCTTAGTGATGTGCAATTTTTATTATGTTAGTTATTGTTTCTTGGTTTAATCTTTATTAGCTATATTAAAAACTTTTCTTTCTTTCTTCTTTCTAAACTTTCGCAATTATGTAATTAAGTTGATAATATAGTAATTTGTCTGTATGTTAAGTCGCTATTAAAATTGTATGGATATCTGGAGCAACACCGTATCAGGCATATCCAAAGGAAAAGTAATACATACTGAACAGAATTGAAAAGGTTGCGCGTGCGTTCAGTCATAGCGCGACTAGCGCGCAGGCATCACATACACTTGTATATATTTATATAATGTACATAATATAATATATAAACATATAATATTTATAAATATAGTGTGTGATAAGCAATAATTTACGGTAAGTCAACTTTTATGTAAAAAAAATTACTGTTAACTTACTAGTTTGTTATTGAATTTAACAAATCAAATAGAAACGCTATTATAAAACTAGTATCTGTTCAAATAAAATTTAAAGAATGTTAATTCAATTTAATAAACATTGTATGAAAATACGAAATCTATGGCAAACTGACGTACGTATGCGCCAATAGCATAATGGTTATAAAACAAAATCCAAAATATAAGAACGTAGGTTCGAATCTAAAATGTATCATTTGATTTGGAAATTGTAATCGCCATCCCTTTCATTATTGTTGAAAGAACAGAGACAGCAATACGGGTCAATACATTTATGACTGAAATCGGAATTCATACTTCTACATAAATGAAAGGGGAAAGACAAATAATGTATCTCTTAGCGTGAGTTTCTGAGGCCCAAAATCTCCGTTTAAAACATATTATTATCTCTGTTTTGTCATAGATAATGACAGGGATAAGGATATGTTTTATACAGAGATGTTGGTCTCAGAAACCTACTGTTAGTTTATTTCGCTAGTCGAGTCGCCAACCTTTTATCTTTTGCTTAATGTTAATTATTTAAATGAGAACTTACTCAGCAAAATACGTCAATGAGGTTAATTACAATCGTAAAGATTTTGTTGTGAACATTAACTTTTTGCAGAAATATAAATAAAAGGCAAAGTTGTTTACCTATTCAGCCACCGTGGATTAATACATTAAATAAAATAAAAAATATCTTTTTAATTAAATCAAATTTAAAATATGACACTTAAATATAATAACACAATTTAAATTTAAACTCAATATCTACTAGTCTTTAAGTCAGTTTGATATTAATAAGAAAAAGAGGACGCACATGAAAGCAATACCTTACGATTAAAAAAATCACCAATAATGGAGTTACGCGGTAACACACATAAATGCAGACCAATTGATAACCTTCATTTTGAAGTCGGATAAAAACAATATTAGTAACACCGTTTGAGGCATCCCAATCAAATAAATTAAAATGTATTTTACGTTTAACTTAATTATCAAAAACTTAATTTATTCTCTAAATAAACGCGGTTAGTCTTATTTCAAATGTCATAAACATTTAAAAGTCGTTAACATAGATTGATAAATAAAATAACACGTGTTTAAAACAAACGTAAATATAATAAGACAAGTTTGTAATCTACAGCGTGTTTCGTGTGACATCATAGCAATTAAGCAAAACCACGTCTGGTAAGCGTGATTTAACAATCAGAATTTATAATAAACAAGCAACTTAGTTAAATAATAGGAATCAAAACCTTAGGTTACTAATGAAGAGCCTTCTATTGCCTAAAAGATGTCGTAATATCTAAAATATGTAACACTTTTGAAGTTGAACTGCAATTGTTAATATTTGAACAATCTATCCATCTATATTGGATGTTTGTTAGAAGGTATCTCCAAAACGGTTCAAGTTATCTCGCTAAAATTTTGCACAGATGTAGAACATAGTTTGGGAGAACATATAGTCTACTTATTTAGTGTTCTTTTTTTAAATTCCAACAGCCATTATTAATCTGTTACTATGAGGAACTGAATTCTTACTTTCAATTACGACCGCAGATTCGTACAAGGTCGGAATTAACATCGTATTGTTTACGTTTTTGTCACTCGCCAAACGAACTGGCCATTGTTACGTGTGTATCCATCACACTCAGATCCGGACAATGCTATTTTTTTGTAGAAAAATAAACAAAAGACATGCTCCAGATCATTTTGAACGCGTTGTGTTCTCTACACGACTGACGTATTATGAATATGGCCAGTATGTAAAATAAACTGTTATCATTTTTTATCTGTTATTTCTATGAGCAAAGACAAATAATTATTTAGAACTACATAGCTGCTGTGACTCCATACTCACGGAATAAAAACAAACTTAATTAGTAGCCTATATGTTCATCCAGACTATGTCCAAATTTCAGCGAGATCCATTCAGTCGTTCTGTAGATACCTTCAAACAAACAATCATCCATCTAAACATTGGCATATATATTAGTGAGACTAGTGAGATGTGAAATCTGTACTTAGGGTAGCTTTAAGTAAGTCTTGAATTACTCTGTAGCAGTTTGTCATTGTTTATACAAAGTAAATATTTAATTTTAATCCGATACGTAATTTATTCCCCGTGACTAGATATTAAACAGTGATCAAGTAAACCCTCTAGGCATCGCTTTGTGCAATCCCGAGTGAGGTAACCTTTGATATTGTAAAGGCTTCAAGTCTCTGAGGATTTGATGCAATACTCAAATACTCTTTTACATACATATTGTTGTACTTTATTTCAAAGTAACTCTACATAAATACTAAGTACAAATATTTATGCGGTTTTGTATGTTTTACTGTCTTTATGCTATGATTTTTTTCATTTGAATCACAATTTTAGGCTCCAAAAAATAATTTATGTATAAGCAAATTTACAGCGTGATGCTACCTGCACATATCTGAGAAGAAATTCAAAGATATGTGTGAAGTCAACCAACCAGCACTGGGCCACTGGTTGACTATGGCCTAGTCATCCTTGATTTAGGCTCCGAGCCCCTCGTTGGCTACGTATAGTGAGATGATGATGCAAATTTAACAATTTTCACCTGTATCAGACTGGATCTTAAGGTCCACGAATGGGTGGCGAAAAACAAAATTAAGGTTTTATATGTTGAAGAAGGAAGGTGCCGAAAGGGTTCACCAAAACTAGTAATTATTTAAAAGGAGTTTGTGGCAAAAACATTTGGGCATCTCTTTAGTCCATTTAAAATCTTAATTAAAATCTTTTTAATAATCATATCAAATAGTATATATTTATTTAGCAAAACAACGATAATGTACGCGAGGGACAAAGATCTGCATATATCAAAAGGTCAAAGAGATTAGATTCACGGGCCGTAGCGCCGGACACGTGCATGACCTAAAATTATATATTAGGTCGAATAATATTTATTTATCTTTTTCAATGAGAAACTTAAAAAATTTAAGTTCCCCGAACTATTATACAATTCACAATTTTATATGTTTCTTTCCAGATGAAGTTTCAATGTTTCCTCGTGGTATGCCTCGCGGTCTTGGTCCCATCACGAGGCAGTGCGATCACAAACCAAATATTTGACAACAGGGAAATGCTATTGGCATTTGTTGTAAGTATATTTAGCTTGGCTTGCAGTACAGAATGCCGTTGGCCAAATACCTATGCTCCAAGTACCAGAAAAATGGGTACATAGTTGACTCTGTGATTCCATATTTGTTTAGTGACGCAATTTAATTTTCAGTATCATCCTCGTCCTCTACAACGTTATCAATCTATCGTGGTTTAGTTCCTGAACTTTATTCATCTAGGTCAAAGGCGTGACTATATTCATGTTGTAACGTAAAATGTTCAAAGGTGAACCGGCACGGCGAGCGAGCGCCAGACAGCGACGAACTTTCACTTTCCAATGAACAGGAGAGACTCAAGAATCTGACATACATCGAAGGTCCCGAAGGACTTACTAACGTAAGCACAAATATTCACAGCTTTTGGTTATTCAAGTTTACTCAAGTGATTATCTAATAAAATTAATAAGCGGTTTTGTTACTAAGCACTTATTTATTAATTACACTTTATAATTTATTATTTAGATAAAATTTTAATAAAAACATAAAAGAGCAATGTCATGGTTTATGTAAGATACGTCACCTTGAACGATGTCATGGTACGATATCGCAGAGTGAAGCCCTGGAGGCCCTTCGTTATCACAAGGTTAACTTTGTTAAATGTCAATGAATTGTAGGAGGAAGAGGAAACTACTGACGGCTCTATCATTTGCAACACTAACAACTAAGACCGTGAAAGCAAAGCCTAGAAGCCTTAAAACATTTTGATATTAAATTGGCATCATTTAGGCTCGTTCGTTCAAACCTTTCAGCATATCTCTTTCTAAAATTTTTAATTTGTCTTACGTTGTTAAATTGTAGGCCGGTAAACGCAGAGGGTACCAAATCGGAAAATTCATTAAGCAACGTTACGGCTGCCAAGGTTCCAAGTTACTATCAAACATATACTTTCAAGATGAGATAGCTGTGAGGAGTACAGACAAGGAGAGAACCAAAATGACAGCACAGATGGCGATGGCAGCAGTGTACCCGCCAATATTGGAACAACAATGGGACGAGGGTCTTGGAAAAGTCTGGCAGCCAGTTCCTTACACTGCTGTACCTTTAAGCGAAGACTACGTAAGTACTTTTAATAAAGGAGTTTGCTAACACATGATGGTGTTAAGTAACTACAGATAAACATTTTCAAAGACTTATTAAGGAAAAAGAGAAGAGATATAGTTAGGAATAAATATCGTGTTATTCTGCCAAGAAGCAAGACGCCAGAAATATATAACCTAAGCTAGCAGTTCTGAGAGATCATGATACTTTGCCGTAGTCAGCTTTCGGTTCACTCTATGTTATATCATGCGAATAAATCGTGATTGTGTTCTCTCTAGGATTTATTGTTATGCAACATTGACCTCTATTATCGTATTGATAATGAGGCGCTTGCGTTATGATAATAAAATAAAGCGGTCACTTTTGTAGTTATAGAGATATACTCGGAACTAAGTCTGGGTCGATTCCCTTTTTATCAGGAATAAGTAATGGTAAATTAATTTATACTTAACAGTAATATACGTAAAGATTTAGACTTTAAGATTAGATTAAAATGATATTAATTCTAAATATTAGTCAATATTACTACGTATTTATAGAACAAAGAGTTAGAGACCTTAATAGCCTTAAAAGAAAACTCAATAAGATTATATTAAGCATAAATTTTGACACGAAAACAATGGATAAAGTCACGTTTAAATATTTTTTCTTCACAGCTTAGGTATTATTCCAACTGCCAAAGGTTCAAGGAACTGATGGAAGAAGCTAAGAAGACATCGCTCTATCAAGAGTTTGCGCCATTCAGCGATCTGCTACCCAAGTTGTTGAAGGAAACAGGACGCAACTTTACAGAAAATCCATTGCTGTTTCAAGCTTTGTTCGATTTATTCAGAAGTCAGGTATAAATCTTTGTTAATATAAACGTGTCATAACACACGCTCGGAAAATATATTAATAGTACAATGAATAAACCGGTGCTTGACCACAATCTTGTTACTACTCTTGTTACTAAGTGGGCCTGCTTAGTCAATATTTTTAAGGTGAATCCTGTTTCAAAATAATGGAATAAATCTTACTTCCTACTTATATTATAAATGCGAATGCATAGATGGATGAATAGATGTTTATTTGAAGTTATCTCCAAAACGGCTGAACGGATCTCGATGAAATTAGGAATGGATGTAGAATATAATCTGTAAGAACACATAGGCTACTTATTAATTATTTTTTTAATTCCGCTCGAACGGAGTCGCGGGCGACAGCTTGTATTTAAAATATGGTCATATTGCATCTATTGCAATATCATATTTCCCACAAATTGATACTCAGGGTCACACAACTCACACGGACACAATTACTTTCAACAACATCGTTTCGCCTTTCAAAAGATCGTTCCACGATTTTATATTTTGTTTTAATGTGTACATTAACCTGTGACATTTCGTTAGCGGATATTTAATAGCATATTTTTTCAATCGTATCTTTTTTTTTTGTTTTTTTAAAAGCTGTTTTAGCGCCAGGTAAACTCGACGACCTCGATTGTTCTTATGAATTAAAGGCATGTTATATCTTTAGTACAATTTAGTGTGCTATACAAATCATTTTAGACAGCCATAAAATATTTATGAAAACAACTACCATTCAGTATTCTTTTTCAATCCACTTACCTCTATACATAGACAGGTTATAAGCTGTTGCATTTTGTGCGTATTCGATTATCGCCATTTTGGCGCTGACAGTTGCAATAGTAGCGGTGGTGAGGATCCGAACTAATAATCGGAACGATGCACAAGCTGTTATTTCTTAGCAATAACCTATCCATTTATAAAGATCAGTAATTCAAAATACTATGTTCACTTGTTTGGAATTGAAATTGCAACTCATACTATGGGTTTCGACTGTCAACGCACTTGTATAAAATTATATTGTCATCCCTTTCTTTCCCTTTGATAAAAAGAGAGAACATTATGTCACCATTGTTGAATTTTACAGATGAGCTATATTATGTAATTTCCAGGTCGCTCTCGGATTAGACGTACCTGAGTGGGCTAATCCCATACTAGCGAGACTCGGGGAAGCGTCTCGACTAGCTTATAGGTTATACTTCAAGACTGATGAGATGAAAAAGATTGGAGGAGGTGAGTTCAGTTCTATTAGTTTAAAATTCCTTCGTCCACTTAACTCAATCGTTCACTTGTTTATTTTCAAGCATTCCAAAGCTATAGATTTATAACCTATTAAACGTAACTCTGAGTATAATTATGACATTTTAAAATTTGTACCAGCATCCAGAATATTTCCATCAAGGCTTATGTGTCTATTTAACTTTTACTAAGGTGGAACGCCTCGTTGACGTCCTTTTATAAACGCTATACTTACCAAATAAGTTGTGAAAGTGTGAATTTTAGTTTATCTTCTAATTCCAGGTGTTATTCTGAACGATTTCATCTCAGCCGCAAACGATATCGTAGCCGGAAAGAGAATCAATAAGAGGTTCCGAATGTACTCCGCTCACGATTTCAACATCGGCTCTCTGATGGAAGTCACCAGGATATCGCGAAGTGAACAGACTGTCCCAGAATACGGATCTTTATTCGCTTTAGAGTTGTATAGGACGAAAAGTAATGGAGAATTCTCTGTTTTGGTAAGTTCTAATCCTTCTACTTTTATTTTCCTAATGTTTGGACTTCGGTCTTAGTAAGGAAATTAAAGAATTACTACTATTTAGAACAACAGCAAAATATGCGACATTTTTTAATTTGTATACAGATTTCATCAAGTACACTTGCGCACAACATTGTAGTAACCTAAATTATCTTATTTTTTTATTATTTTTTTTATTTGATTGAATTGTAGTACTCTTTGTTTCTGTAATAGAAAATCAAAGTTTATATAGTGCTAGTCGAAATTAACACCCGACTTTTTTTGCAGCCGGTGTACTTGCCAAAGGCAGGTGAATCTGTCGCCCATAACCTACACTTCACTGGCTGCGAGAGTAACAGCTACTGTAGTTATCATAAGTTCCTTGAACTAACCAGGGATTTTGTACTACCAGAAAAAGAATTCTACAGAATCTGTAACATCAAGACTGAGTTATAATGCATGAAGTTATCGTAGAATTTCACTGCTTTGACATTCGTTTCAATGCATATGGTCTATCAGCGGCGGTAATTCAAAACCGCTACGACTTAGGGTCCTTCAAGAAGCGAGCTTATCACCATCTCAAAGGCCGGCAACGCATCTGCGGTTACTCTGGTATTGCTGATGTCCATAGGCGTCGTTGAACATCTCGGTGTTACCGCTGCTTGTTTGCCCCCTTCTGTTATAAAAAAAATATATTATATATATTGTCATCTCTTTCCTTCCCTTTGAAAAAATAGAGACATATGACTAATGAGATATGTAATAAATCAGTCACGGCGGCATTCGAATTCTACGGTTACGAAGAAAAATAGTTTAATTAATTAACTTGAACACTTTTGTACACAAGTGTACTTTGAGTGATAAAATGTAATTGACAGTTTTTAACTGTTTTTGATACTTGTAAATTAATTTTAATAGAATGTTTTCTTTTTATTGTTCTCTAGGTTAAGTTTTATTTTTTGGAGTTTCAATTGTTTCTTTTTTTTAATACATACGAACAAATATGTACACATAATAATACTTGTAGCAATTTTAAAATATTATAATGTAAATATCGCAGTTTATTTATATAAAGTAAATATATATCTAAGGAGCATAGTCTGTGATATACATATATTTAACAAATAAATATATATTAAAAGTAAATAAATAAATAAAACTAACATGACTTTTCACTATAAGATTTACATAATGCAGTCTTAACCACAAGTATCAAATTGTAGCAATCTTATTAAATAGTAACTAAATACATTTTGGTCCTTTAAGCCGGACACCTTGGGTGCAGTCCTTTTGAAGTTAGCGTGACAAGGGTGCAAATTATTATGTTGTCAAACCTTAAAGCACAAATAGACCGGGCCCTCGTCAACCAGACTGGCTATTTATTTTTGGAAGCTGTTTCTTGTTATTAAATTGATAAATCGACAACAAAATTACTTATTGTTTAGGATTAAAGTTTTTTGGTGAACATGCAACTTCTTGGGTAAATTTATTACCCTAAATACCCCTAATAAACTCACTACGGTTTACTAATAGGTAACTAATATAACATTTTATTTAATTAAAAATGTGGCACCAACTTTTAACTAACTTAACACTACTAGCTGTCGCCCGCGACTCCGTCCACGCGGAATTAAACATGAAACTTAATAAGTAGCCTATGTGTTCTTTCAGACTATGTTCTACATGTATGCCAAATTACATCATCATCCGTTGATACGTTCCGGAGATAGCTTCAAACAAACGTCCAACCATCCTTCCATCTAAATATTTCCAACATAGAAAATATCAGGGTCTTTAGATGTAGCGCTTGTTATGTACTTAATAACCTGAAAACACTATAGTTATAAAAACCAACAAAATTCCCTTTAAAATACGAGTACTAAGGATTATTGGGTCACCATTCATGAATAAATTCGCACATGTTAAGACCCTTTCACACAGAGAGCTCACAATTCGTTCATTCCTATTAAATCGGATGAGCCCCAATAAAAAGTTCACCCCAATTATATTGAGAGCGTATTCTGAATGCTAGGCCGATGTCGGGTTTTAGGTAACGGGACCCGATCGTTTCCCGCCATTTCCATTTCGGGAACTCTGGTATTAATTCCGAACGCTTAAATTCCGATACGGACGTCTCTCTTACTTAGACTATACTGTGCCATACATATTCATTTATGCATTTATCACTTTTTGGACTAGTTAAGCATTGTTTTTTTACTAAAATAGATATGAAATTTGGCATAAATGTAGAACATGGCCTAGAAGATTAGACATACGATTTTTTTATTCCGCGCCTACGGAGTCGCGGGCAACATCTAGTCTGCAATAAGTATGGCAATATAACAATATCCTAGAGTGAATTTTAATAAAACCGTACCCAAAGTATATTTAGTCGTTTATCAGTAAATAATTACTCATGATAATCAAATTCAAGTTTGTGTCAATAGATGTCGCTACCTTACTTTCACCTTATTGATAATTCGATTATTTGGAGAAGCATTCATTTGTTTTCATAAATTGTAATCCACTGCTGTATCTGTCCGTGGTAACGTATGATGCTATGAGACGTGACACTGTTTGCTGCCAGTATTTGAGTTGTTCTGATATCGTTAGGGTTGTCAAAAGCAGATTTTGTAAAAAAAAAATTAAAGTTTAATGTAAAAATGAAGTGAGATCCGTGACATTTCTAAATTATGGCGAGGTGTTTTATTTTGCTAGCCACGCTATAATATGAATAAGTTTTTGGTAAGCAGATTTACAACATTAAAATTACGTCCGTAACTTAGAGGGGTAGGCAGATACTACCGACTTCCATTTGGTACGGTGCAGACACAGCTCCCTCGCTTCTTCTACATTCATACATCTATCATATATTCAGACCGAGTAAATAATTAAGTCAGCATTTCCTAACTTAAATTTTTAAACGAATTAATTTACTATTTATTTTGGACAGCCCTAGATGGCGCGGTGTTGATTTACGCGACGTGCTCGACTCCACAGTTGCAGTGGCAGTATGCAAACTGTCTTTGGAGCATTAATTTCACCTACAAGACTGTCAAGGAGTTTAGTGGATTACATTACAAATGAGTCCTAGACCAAACAGTATGTGACAAGATTTGTCAAAATAAAGTCAACATGGAACATTTTTTTTACAATCTTACTATTATTATAAATGCAAATGTTTGGATGGATGGATGGGTGGATCGGTGTTTGTTTGAAGATATCTCCTGAACTGCTGCATGGATGACGCTGAAATTTGGTATAGATGTTAAGCATAGTCTGGAAGAACACATAGGTTACTAATTAAGTTTTTTTTTTTATTTCGCGCGGACGGCGTCGTGGGCGACAGCTTGTTAGATAATAAAATCATCAATAGCTGTAAACTAATTGATTCTTTATACTAATTATGTAGGTTTAACTTACTAATATTATAAATGCGAAAATTTTGATGAATAAATAGATCTTTATTACTACGTAAAATTAAACCTTATCTCAATCGCTTAAAGCTCAATTTTATTTACGATAAAAATCTGCTTTGCTCTCCGTCATGGTCTGTATGAACGGACACTTAGACGCCATACTTCACTTCATCCGCAGAGCCTCTGGATTTATCGGACGTGTTAATTTTACTCAAGTATTTATAGTTCTGGATGGAGTCTAGTCAATCTGTGTTCGAGACATATAAAATATCTTTGTTATTTGCAGTAATTTCATTCGTTTCTGTCCGATTTGTAAATATGGTAGCGTGATTAGTTGACTATCTTTAATAAACAGGCTTTCAATTGCAATAAATCTTTTTAAAAACCAACAATAACTTCTAGAGATTGCATACGAACAAATTCTTTAGCACCACTATTTTATTATTTACTTGTTTCAATTATTTCTTAGTCTGTTTCAAAATAACAATACTAAAAATTCACGTGTAATTTTCAAAACGTAAGCACAAGGAACTGTAGATTAATGAATGAAATTTGCAACTAAAATGTTTTCATGGTTCGGTGTGCCACAGAGAATGCAAATACACTATCGATGTCGTTGCAATACTGTGACTACGCAGCAAGTTGACACGTTGTGCGAACATAGTTCATGTACTTTTCAGATGTCTATTTAGGGATGTACTAAGTAAATAATTCTATATCGATATTCGATATTCTTTAAAATTATCGATATTACATTTAATGTTACGTGTACTTTTATTTCACCACAACGATATTTATTAGTCATATTAAAATGATGTTATTTCTCATCCTTTATTTCTTTAAAATAAAATTAGTAGCCTATGTGTTCTTTCAAACTATTTTCTACATCTATGCCTAATTTCAGCGAGATCCATGCAGCCGTTCTGGATACCTTCTAACAAACATCCATCCATGTATCCATGCATGCAACATTCGCCCTTATAATATTAGTAAGAAGTAAGATTTATTAAATGAAATAAAATAAACATTTCACCAGTCAACATTTGAAAATGTGAATTCGTCCCCGGTTCGAATCCGTGTGACCTCTTAATACAAGCGCGACGCAATGTAATTGGACCTTGTGATTTATTTCTCTCCACGTGAGCAATATAGCATTAATTAATCGATCAATCTACAAGCTTGCTGATGTAGACATTTGCATATTTTGAATGCCCTGAATTTTTCGAAGAGCAAAAATAAAGTCTTACCAAAATGCTAAATGTGAATGTTTAGATGTTTGTTTGTTAGAAGGTATCTCGAAAACGGCTGAATGGATGTCGCTGAAATTTGGCATATATGTTAAACATAGCCTGGGAGAACATATAAGCTATTTATTATGTTTGTAGCAACAAAAAAATAAATACAAAATTAAAGATTCTGGATTTCTATTTGTCACGATCCTCGCATTCTCTAGGTTATATTGTTATTCATTGGCAAAGAATATTCTTCTGTTCCATTCAAAATATTCCATAAACACGACTAGGAAATTGCTTTTAACTCCACGACGTAGTTTACTCAAGTTGAGATTTAAACAATAACAGTTCTATTTAAAACTTACATTCTGTAAAACAATGTATTATGTACGAGAAAATGTTTCTAAGTTAACGCTAAGTTATTTCTGAAATTTAACATAGATGTAGAACATAGTCTGGAAGAACACATGGGCTACTAATTAATGTTTTTTTTATATCCGCGAAGTCGTTAAAGATGTTACTAAAAATTTAATGGCGATTTTTTTAATTTTTACCAATATTTCTCGCGAATACTTTCATGACCCATATTATCGTGCTGACGTGGCAACATCAAGATCCCCGCACAAGTGATGACGTACGATACGACACGTCCGGGAGAGAAGTAGCCTCTTCATTCTGTAAGCTTTTATGTCGGGCACGAAGACGTTATCTGTTTAGAATGATACATCCTTTAGGTAACTAGAGTTTTAACCTAATTCATTTTATTAAAGAATTATATGTTTGTAAAAACTTTATTTTTAGTTTAAAAATCTCTCTCTTTAGCAAAAATGCATCGACGTATTTTACAAAACATGTGATTATTGATTTGATCTTTTTGATAAACTACATAAGTAAGAAGAAATAAGAAAAAAATGTTATCTTTTTAATTACGTACGTGTGTATACTTCTTTAGTGGTTTCCGTAAATAGTACTCAAAGACGCCAAGTTTGAAAACAGCCGACGAGTTACAAGTCTAATTAAAAACAAGGACATGTGAAGTT